TCACAAAGTAGAAGAAAATCCTGGAGGAGAACAAAGTAAAAATCATTTGGAATATCCAGATGCGGAATATAGAATCCAGAAAAAAAATATATAATCCCGCTGGTCAAACAGAAAAAAAAAAGTTAAAGGTTTGTAAAGAATCTAAATCTCCTGTCCGTTTGATATGAGAATTGAAAGCAAAGAGAAAAAAAAGGATCGGTACCAAAAATGACTTAAAGTCATTCTGAAATTTTGGAAGAGACTTCAAAGAACGTAATTAAAGTACCAGTGATTATCTGAGTACTGGGGTGTTCTACAAAAATAACGAGGGAGCATCTTGAAGATATTGGATTGTGATTTTGAAAGTACCAGTGATTATCTGAGTACTGGGGTGTTCTACAAAAATAACGAGGGAGCATCTTGAAGATATTGGATTGTGATTTTGAAAGTACCAGTGATTATCTGAGTACTGGGGTGGTATACAAAAATAACGAGGGGGCATCTTGAAGATATTGGGCTGTGATTTTGAATGTACCAGTGATTATCTGAATACTGGGGTGTTCTACAAAAATAACGAGGGAGCATCTTGAAGATATTGGATTGTGATTTTGAAAGTACCAGTGATTATCTGAGTACTGGGGTGTTCTACAAAAATAACGAGGGAGCATCTTGAAGATATTGGATTGTGATTTTGAAAGTACCAGTGATTATCTGAGTACTGGGGTGTTCTACAAAAATAATGAGGGAGCATCTTGAAGATATTGGATTGTGATTTTGAAAGTACTAGTGATTATCTGAGTACTGGGGTGGTCTACAAAAATAACGAGGGAGCATCTTGAAGATATTGGATTGTGATTTTGAAAGTACCAGTGATTATCTGAGTACTGGGGTGTTCTACAAAAATAACGAGGGAGCATCTTGAAGATACTGGATTGTGATTTTGAAAGTACCAGTGATTATCTGAGTACTGGGGTGTTCTACAAAAATAATGAGGGAGCATCTTGAAGATATTGGATTGTGATTTTGAAAGTACTAGTGATTATCTGAGTACTGGGGTGGTCTACAAAAATAACGAGGGAGCATCTTGAAGATATTGGATTGTGATTTTGAAAGTACCAGTGATTATCTGAGTACTGGGGTGTTCTACAAAAATAACGAGGGAGCATCTTGAAGATATTGGATTGTGATTTTGAAAGTACCAGTGATTATCTGAGTACTGGGGTGTTCTACAAAAACAACGAGGGAGCATCTTGAAGATATTGTATTGTGATTTTGAAAGTACCAGTGATTATCTGAGTACTGGGGTGTTCTACAAAAATAACGAGGGAGCATCTTGAAGATATTGGATTGTGATTTTGAAAGTACCAGTGATTATCTGAGTACTGGGGTGTTCTACAAAAATAATGAGGGAGCATCTTGAAGGTATTGGATTGTGATTTTGAAATAGATTCATCAAAGTGATCCATGATAAAAACCTTTATGCTTGAGAAAATAAGGATAATTTGAAAGATCATTAGACACAATTTTCGGTGAAATGGAGAAATAATCTATTTATTATCATAAGTCACAACAGATGACATGAAACTCACATTCTTAAAAGAAAAAAAATATCTTTGACACTTTTGTAATGTCAGCGAACACTCGTTGTCACTTCCGTAATGATTGTTGTATTAAAGGCTTTGTAATCACAGATTGAACAATGCTGGTGTCAGACGCCTTCAAATAATCTCGCATTTGCTCGATAATACTCGCTCGAACAGTAATGCGTATCGTAGAGAAGATAGACTAGAAATGGTGATCAATTAGACACACGCTACCTCCCATATATACGTTTCCTCTATGGTCACGTGGTCTACTGGATTCAATAATGGGATCGCCTGCATTTACTTACTGGCAATCTATGTTCAAACTTAAGTGTCGACAGCGACACTTTATTCCTATATAACAACTGTCTAAAATAATAATAATAATAATAATAATAATAATAATAATAATAATAATAATGCTTGCTAACTAGAAATATCCGACTGGGAATAGCAGTGTCTCAAGGGTGCGACGTGCTCATTAGTGTTGGTCGGGAGTCATCCTAGCGGTAACCTCTTGGCGGTTAAAGATAAAACGCAAAAAATATTTACAAACAAAAACTCATATCGAAAAGGTCTTCACCGGGGTAAACAAAGGCCTCGTCCCTTAGAAGGGAACGAGTCTGGGGTCGAAAAATCTGTCACTGGAACAAATTCTTACACAAGCAATGATACATCTGGTCACCAAAACCAACATTGGAGCTGATGACCTGTCAAATCAATTAATAAAAAGAAAGCGAACGAAATGGAATCGCGAAGAGAATAAACAAGTCATGACATTTTTTTCACTTATCTCAAAAATTCACAAAAGAACATCACCGATCAGGCATACGAAATATGGAGAGATATGGTAAGAACTAAAATAAGACTCTGTTTACATTATTCGGACTATTGTGCTCATCTTTGTCGTCATATTTACTACGTTTCGACCGTTGTACGCACATGCCTTCTTCAGGTGGTTGGAATGTCGAACTGAACCCTTATTTCGCTCACTGGGGTAGGCTGTTCTAGTTCCACGTTTAATAGATGTCAGTTATCTTGTTATCTCTTGTTGATTCCCCTCTCCAAGTTCTCCACTGCCTTAACCGGGTCTTGAACTCACACTCTTTGGGTCCTGTCACTAGATCTAACCAACGCCTTTATCCACTAGAGGACACATGGAACAGTGGATAAAGGCGTTGGTCTGATCCAGTGGTTAAGGCTGTAGAGGGAAATTAACAGGATATAACTGATAACTGACATCCATTAAACATGGCACGTGGAACTAGATCCCCGAAACAGAATGTAATTTCTGTTCAGTTCCTGCAGACTGTAATATGGCTTTGATGATATTCAAAAGACTATCAAAATACAAGGATTTTGAAATGGAAATCTAAAAGATGGTACGCATGAAGTTATTGATAATTCCAGTTATTTTTAGGGCCCTGAAGTTGATTGAAAAAACAAACGCTTCTGATATACTCATCGAAATGATTCCTAGTCGTCCAGGCTTTGAAGAAATACAAAATTTGTTCAAAAATTTATATCAATACTAACATTACCAATCGGCTTATGACTTTCACACTTTATGGATAATAGATTCTGACAAACTGTATAAAATGTATTAATTCTTTCGACACATCTTATTACACATAATCATTTTCATAAGGTTAGCAAACCTTATTATATGATATTATACAGAGAATATGACAAAAGGCTTCATGTATTTCTTTAAATGGAGAATAATGGTAAAACTTTAATTTAAAGTAGTGTGGGCAGTTAACATAATTACTATATCATTATTCATTCCTTTCGACAACATCGAGCCCAGTCAGTATCTAGATGGGTGACTGCTTGTAAATACCAGATGCTGGAAGCTTTGATGTGCCAGTAGGGTAATGGATAAACAGTTCGAAATCAAAATCTAAGAGCCGATTTCGAATTCTAGTCTGGTTCATCATATTCACTTAAGCGCAAATAATCTTGGGGACGTTATGAATCCACCACTTCTACCTCCAGCTAGGGGTTAACAAGTTGGACTTATACCTGTAAATATTTACCTACTAAAAATCCTTACAACGTAATTTTTTTTTCTGGGCCTAACTAGCATGTAAAAGGTTGATAATTTGTATCAACCTTTTACAGGTCATTTAAGTCCAGAAAATATTTTTATGTTGTAAACCATTTTTGTGTTGCTTTTCCTGAAATTGTTAAATGTTTTTATTTAATAGTTTTTACGATATTGTGGCACCAGTATATGAGGTACTGAGGGATCACTTTTAAAATTTCAATTATTCTTTTGAAACCATTTTTGATTGACTGGTTTGTGTTTTATCAACCCTTAGTGAGTTCTTTAAAGCTGCAACATGTTTTTTTTTTAAATTTTATTTTATGGGTAATTACATTTTTGTCAGTGAATATTGCATTAACATTTTTTAGACTAAACCGTTTTTTCAAGATACAAGTTTTACTATTCAACCCATATCTGAGGAAGTGAGATAGCCTTGCCCGTGAGTGAATATAATTTGACTGGAATTCGAAATCTGTTCTCCGATTACTCATTGCGAATCTCTGTACGTAACATCGCCCGCACATCGTTAACCTTTTTTCAATCCTTGATCGAAACAAGAAAATATTGCATAGGGGTGATAATTTATCCTTTTTTTGAACGTTTCAGACGTCATGTTTGACGTTTATATGAGTGTTTAGATCTGATGAATACTTCATATTAATCTAAAGTATTACTACTAAGTGTTGGTTGCAGGGCTATTTTCTAATATTTCCTCGATTATTGTTCTTTAAACTTGGTTCCGACTCGTGTTACTTCGATACAGTAAAAGACCAGTGTTCAAGTCGATTGGTTGAACCAATCACTTCATCATTTCTACACAAATTCTTTCTCTGCACCTTATCTAATGCTGGCATCATAAAAAAAAACACAAAAAACATTCAGTTTGTTCGTTCGTATTACTGGGCTTGTCAAAAAACAAGAAGATAGTCATAATGAGTTAATTTCTGTTTGCCTCTTGTCGTTAAATGTCTGGCCATTCTGGTTGGAAGATCGGTCAATTTGGGATAAACTGGTTAGGGTATAACTTAAATATGTGTTCGTGCCAATCCTTCAGCGCCAAAATTAATTTATAATTTGTTATTAGACTCATGGCATCGATTTTTCACACCTGTTACAACTAATGACAGCAGGTTTCTTTAGTTCACTTATCCTTACTGACTTCAATACTCCAATCTTTATTGTGCGCCTACAGCGATATTACGTTAAAACACCTTTTAAGAAGTTAAGAAACATTGAGCTTGGCCAGTACCTAGGCGAGTGACCGCTTGGGAATACCAGGTCAGGGAAGCTTGCACCTGAGGGCAGTGTAGCGGATCAGGGACCGAGATAAAAAATCCGAGAGCAGAGAGCGAATTCCTTACATTCACTCATGCAAAAAAAACCCTGGCTTACGGCCATATCACGTTTAAACATCGGTTCCCATAAGATAACCGAAGTTAAGCAACATCAAGCCTGGACGTTACCTAAATGTGTGACCAATTGGGAATATCAGGTGTTGTAAGCTTCGATGTGCGGGTGGTGTAATGGATATTGCTAATCGGAGAGCAGAGTTTCAACTCTAGCTGTTATATATATATATATATATATATATATATATATATATATATATATATATATATATATATATATATATATATATATGTACCATTGGGAAAAGTATAGGTTAATTAGTAAGATTTGTGTTACTAAATCATTATATCGAAAAAAATTCTTACAAACTAAAAGATATTTTCGGACTTTAAATATCTTGTAAAGGGTTGATAAGCTGTAAAAAACATATCTGCCAATCAATGAAAAACAAATAACTTTGGGCAATCATGAATATAAAAGTGACATTATCGCCTAAGCATGTCACTTCAGCCTTTATCAACAGGGAATGATTCCTTCCCATAAAATTGGGGAAGACCAGAGTCCAACAAAGGACCTTCACAGACTGATTTTGTTTGCTTCATTTTCTTTTCAAACTCTGTGGGTTATTTAATACCGACTAGTTTTTTTTAGTATAGGTTTGTATGAATAGAATATGTAAGAAATCAGTTTGTAGATCAGGTTTCATTGACGTATTTTTCGTAAAGAGGATGGTTCACAGACTGAAAAGAAGAATATGGTTTCAAGTCTATCTCAGATTCTCAATAATTGAAAGTTAAAAAAAATCATAATTGTTCTGGATGCTCCAATAACGATGGACTCAACTTAAAATTTCTTCCCCTATACTTAATTAAATTTCTTAGCAAGGTTTTCATATTTATCGAGTATTCGGTTTCTTTCATATGATCTTACTAAAACAATATTCTTTTTACAAGAATTATACTAGATCACCTGATCTCGCCATCGTCACACCATGTTTCGACTTTTTAGTATCTAATACAGAGTTATCGATTGCATATATATATATATATATATATATATATATATATATATATATATATATATATATATATATATATATATCGATGGCCGGTTACTTATGTCCGAACCCTACAGCCTATTATTGATTCAATTTTGCAGGCATAATTGTTTCTGTTCAACGCCCACAGAGCATATTGCAACTATGCTGAGTGGACCTTTATTAAAATTTCTGGGATATTGCTGGGTATAATCTGGGTTAATCCGGACAGAACAGTAAAACGTTTGGTTACGATAACTTGGGTTTAAACAATTTGATTCACAAAGTTTGGGTCAGTCCGCGATATGATTTCCACGTATTTTCGAACTCGAGTCTCATGGTCAGAAAGCCACTCTGCCATATATATATATATATATATATATATATATATATATATATATATATATATATATATATATGTTATATGACTGCTTGATATATATAAGATGTTTCATGCTGACTCAATTGTCAGGCGGCCTGACGATTGCGTCTAGCATGAAACAGCCTGTCACCTCTGAGTGTTAACTTCAATATTCACTTTTATATTTATATTTACATGCGCTCTATCTCTGACATTGAGCCCTTTATCCAATAAATATAGAACACCTTAAAACTTTATATCTTCGTATATATATATATTACATAGAATAGAAAATCAAAATTTACCCCATTCGAATAGCTATTTCTGCCAACAAGACTTGTTGTGTTTGTCAACTCAGAAGTGTGAAGAAATAAAATAGTAACTTAGAATTTAAACAATTAAAAAATAAAAGAAGAAGAGAAAAAGGAAAATAAAAAAAAGAAAGAGAGAAAGAAAGAAGAACATATATTACCAATTTGTGACTGGTAGGGATAATTCCAAGGAAGATATTAATCAAGAGAGAACTCTATGTAAACTACATAGCATTAAAATAATTATAAATCAAGAAAAAAACCAATGCTGGTTATAATCTGTTTCATGAATATTTTTATATTCATCTCTTTAGACGGAAAGTTCTTAATAAAATTTTATTAAGAATATTCGGTCTGAAGGGATGAATATAGAAATATTCACGAAATAGAAAATTATAACCGAAATAGATTTTATGGTTTTATTCACATTTATATATATATATATATATATATATATATATATATATATATATATATATATATATATATATATATATATAATTCATGTGTGTGTGCGTGAGTATATAAATATATATATATATATATATATATATATATATATGTATGACAAGAAATAGTTTTAATGTATGCTATATTTATTGTTAAAAGTGATCAATATTCTGGATAGAGCGTATGTAAATGAACACTGAGTTCAACACCCAGTTTAAGCATGATTCATGCTTAAACGTTATCTTTAGACTTCTGTTTGTTTTAACTCACGTATTTATATACGGGGTGTAACAGTAACTTTGTACAAATCGTCTAAAAGTTTGGTATAATTGTCCATCTCACAAAATGTTTAAATTCTAAAAAGCCACCAAATTAAATGAGTTTCTTTTTTCCAGGTTTTCAGAAAACCTAACTTGTCATCATTTGTTCTAAGAATCACTGAAACACCTTTGATTTATTCAGCTAAAGAAAGAATAGGGTAAAATCGTTTTGTTTCAGACCCACTGTTTCTTCCCAATTGAGCAATGGTGAGAGGAAAATGGTCATTCAGTCCTTCAGTAATGGTGCCAGTATTCATACTTTGGTTAAAATCTTCAAAGCTCATTCAAAAACTATCAAGTGAACGATGAATAAGTTTAAAAAAGACGGAACAGTAGAAAGGAAATCTGGATCAGCAAGAGGAATCTTCATTTCAACTTAACATTCATAATAATAAATTAATAAAGTTCAGTAACCTCGGTGAAATTCAGTTGGATATTTTTAATCATCCCAAATATAAAATAATTCAAAGCTGAACACGATTTGGACAGTTTTGCTGTTACATCCGGTATGCTTGTCAGTGGTGCATTATGGTTAAAAGTTCTATTGTATTTTTCTAATAGTTATTGGGTGGGCAATAACGATTATGTTTCAAATTATTCTAGAGGCTATTGAGTAGAAATAATTGTGGATCATAATGCAGTTCTTGGAGGTTGTGAAGAACCATGAATATCCATGTCCTGAAGTAATACCGCAGATGGAAAGATTTTATTTATATTTGGTCTGATGGGAAACTATATTTGGTGCTGATTTGTGAAAGTAATTTAGAGTATAAGTGTAAATCACAAAGAACTACTCACTTCCGAAGTTTTTATCGTCTCTTTTGTAATTCTAGAATATAAAAATGCTACTTTTAAATCTTATGTCATTTTGTTTTTACTTTGAGTGAACGTGCATATTCACATTCGACAGTTTTCTCAATGGGAAGAGGTAAACTTCGAAAATGTCAGTATCCTGGCCACAAAAACAAAATTTGAATGAAATATTAGCCAGTTCTCATAGTTTCTATATGTAACTAAATAGAAAATAATAATTGCTCCCCAAGGACATAAATCCTTTTACAAAGTGTAATGTCAAGATTAGTCGATTCTTTACATGGAAATATTCGGCATACATTAACCAAACTTTTACCATTCTGAGGAATGGAAAAATATTCCTTAGAAACAAAGAGAAGAGTTTTGGATGGCTGTGATATCATTCATCTTATATGGCAGTGAAATCTGTAAAGTATTACGCGGAAGTTGAAAAAGTTGCGGGCAAAATCTAGTTCTCCAGATGGATAATAAGAATTCCATGTACACAACGAGTAAAGCAGCAGGAAAACCTTAATGAAAATGCCTACAGAAGGAACACTTCTACTCAGAATTAGGAAAACACAATTGAAATTACTTGGATACATAATAAGAAAAAAGGCTTTGATAATCAAAGAACAAATTGAAGGCAAAAGGGAGAGAGGAAAACAATGCATATCCGAGTTAGTGGCTATATATGTGTCGCAGTAGTTCGTGGCTTCCTGGGAATCATAAGACCGTAAACTATGTGGAGTTTTTTGAGAGTCGCTTGAAGAACTACGGCTAAATGGACTGCAGGATATCCTTAAAAGCACATTATCTTGATGAACTGAAAGAGAACATCGCGGTATGCTCAGAAGAGCAAGATGAGTGCTTCAACCAGGATATACTGTACTTTGAAAACCGCTGCTAAGGACCGTATCAGGAAAACATGATAATTCCCAATGGGAATAGATACATTTTATAAATGGCATTATCCGGGTCATAAAAGCAAAGTTTGAAGGAAATATTAACCATTTTTCATACTTTCTAGGCATAAGTAAACATGAAATAACGGTTGCTACCGAAGGACAAAATCATTTGATACTGTGACGCTTTCGCTAGGCGAGTTTACGGCCTTCCTTCGAGGTTTTCTGCTTTGGAATGTTCAAGGTCTTCTCGATTTCCATACACATCAAAATCTGTATTTGATTTCTGAGAACTGACCCTCCCTGACCTAAGAACCGAGTCTTTGAATTTAAAAAGTATTACCATTATTCGTGTCATCTCTTTGGAACTCTACATTCATCCCTTTTTTGTGTTTGGCTCGAAGCAGAGTAGAAAAAAGATTTTTAAAAGCTAGATATACAATGTAAAAAAAAATAGCTTGTTTTCGTCTAATCACCTCTTAGAGGAGATTAGACGGTATAATTCTTTTAATTATAGCGAAATTTACTAAGAACTACTTATTATTATTATTGTGAGTAGTATTAGTGTTACGGTTACTACTACTACTACTTGTGACCTTAAGACGCATGGGTTTCTTTCAATAATAAAGATATCTTTATCGAGTCTACACATACCTGACATCGGTCAGCAACTGCTGACACCAACAACGATCACGTTTCATCTTTCAGCAAACAGACTTTAATTATTACGGCAATTTGCCATCGTTTGTATTTACTCATTTGTGAAATTAGAAAATATCTTGTTATTATTTTTTTAATTAATTAAAAAATCTTATATGTGCCATGTCTCATAAAATATGGCTGACCATATCTCTTCACAACTTGCGTTTTTTTTTCGGCATTGCGGTCCATTTGATTCTCCCGAACACTGTCATTGCTCTGCTATCAATTGTCAGCCATTTATGAAGTCGGTCACTCGTTACTTCCTCTCGCTTCTC